TATTGCTGCACAGCTGGTACAGCATGGGGTGGCCATGGCCGGAGAGCAAAGCTGCAGGGATGGGGTCTGCATGGGGGATTTGCCCTTTAAATGCTCACATTTTTAGTCAACAACAAGAGAAAAGCATGCAACAAATATATCCATGCAGGAAAGATCCTCAATTTAATATACTTTCTAATTAAGAAGAGAAAAAAAAAGTACATATAAAATTAGGAGTATGAATATCCTTTTCACAGTATTTAAATTGGGGAATGGATTTATTGCTTTATATTAGCCTATACATTTAGCAAACCATAGCAATTAGCAATGCACCATTTTATCTACTTATCTCTGACTGTCACTACAAGATGTCTACTTCAAACATTTGTTTCTGAATTTCTAAGTTTACTAAAGAAAGCTCAAAGTTATTTCTCAGAGATACAAATGCCCAAATTCCTTAATAACCTATCTGAATTCAAAAAAAAAAAAAAGGCAAAAAAACTTAAATGGCATTTCAGAATAAAAAATGTTTAAATACTGTAAAATGGTGATTCTTGCTGAAATATTCCGAAGGAAACAAACAGGTTTTACTTGATTGGGAAAAGGATGAGTCAGTACCTCTTTTTCTGAAAAATTAGAATCCCATGGGTTAAACAACATATACCTTTTAGGACAGAGGACTTCATCAGCTTTATTAAGGATCTGGAGCAGTGCTGAAAATCACCCTATCTGCCTAGAAAATGAAGCAGGCTACACAGAGCTTCCTGATCCTCAAGTGACAATATTGGTAACTCAGTTTGACTGGTTTTGTCAAGAATTCATTAATAGGTTGACAGATTCCCTACTATTTTATAAAAGTTTGCTTCGTAATCTAGTGAATTCTCTTGCAAGACAATAGCATAACCACTTTAGAGAAAGAAAACCTAAAGCACAGAGATGGAATTCATTGACCAAAACTGTAGATATTTGTGTCTCAGCTACATTTTAGACTCCAGCTATAGCCAATAGTGAGAGAAATAGACACTTGTGATTGATTAATTGATTTCCTAGCCTAGAAGTGTAAAATAGATTACATGAACTGTGTTGATCAGGTAGATTTTTTTCCTCTCCTGGCCATAAAGAGGTTCAGGGTGACCAGCTTCCAAACAGGGATCTTTGCCATAGCTGAGGTAAGCAAGATAACTTCCCAGAATGGAGGTTAAATGGTTTTGGTTTATGTTTGACAGAAATACGACTATTTGGGATTCCTGGCTTCTGCAAGGGCATTCTTATCTGGACATGAATATTCTCCCTGCAAAAGGGATAGCTGAGGTCTCTGTGAATAACAGTAACACATTGCAATGGAAGATGGAAGAACAAACCTGGTGTTACTGTCATGTCATCTCCGTTGACTACGGGTCTTTCTTCTTCTTCTTCCTCTGGTGGTTCAATACTTGTCTTCTCCATATTGCTCACAGACTTATTCCTCTTGCGCTTGCCTTCAGCGCCAGGAGTGGCCCCTGGAAGGATCTGATCTGTTACATTTAACAATAACGGAGCTGGTTCTGCTGGAGGCTTTGGGGTGCCGTAATAGTTGTCTGGAAAGAAGCAGAACGGAATAACATATAAATTCACAGAATTACATCTACTTCTTCTTTCGGATTAATAAGATTATGTGAGGTAGTACATCAGCTAATATTAAGGTTAGTTCAAAATGTTTTCTGTGAGGTTAAAATTCACTTTTCATGAAATTGTAACATATACTTCTAATGGCAGCACTAGTGATCCAATCATACTCACAAATACATACTGCATTAACTATTCCTCAAACTCTAACAGGCTAAATAAAGTCTATATTTTTCTCATCCAAACCACAGATAAGTAGGAAGCATTCTGAAGTAGTTTTTCACTTCAAATCACTGGTTGGGACTAATCAGTTTTATAACATTTATGGCGCAATAAAAGAGTTCTTGACAATCAAAGGGATCATAAGGATATTGGATAGTTACCCTGCTAAGTCATTTTCATAACCCCCAAATTGTCTTTTCCAGTAAGGAAGCTCATTATTGCTCTGTGATACAAAGATCCACAATAATAAGTAATGCTGCACTACCTCACTTTTGCATTTGTCAAATTTTTACTGTTCGTGAGAAAAGCTCCAGATTCATAATAGTTAATGCTAATATATTTTCAAAGAAGATGAAACTTTATGCTTTAGGGCTTAAAACTATCTCCAACTACTAAGAAATTCTGAGAAGATTTAGTGGCTGACAGATTACCCTCTATTTGTCTCTTAGGAAGTTTCTGGCAACTTCTGAATCACCCACTTTTGATTAGACTGACCAAGATCTGATCTGATCTATCTGATCTGCATGTTTGAATTTTGGGCTCAAAACTGGTTTCTTTAATAATACCTGAAACTTGTTTTTTAAAATATGGGTCTTTAGCTGGTCCTTTCTAGAAGCAAACATAAACAGCAATATGAGACATCAGAATATATATATATAAAATATAGCATTCGTGCAAAATTATTTTTTTCCTGAGAAAGTTGTGTTTTCTGCATTATTGTTTCTTCAGAGTGGCAACTGTTCATGAGAAGGGCAGTGAACATGATGCCTCGCTGGTAGATTAACAAGCAGTTAATATAGCAACCTAAAAATGTTATCCACCTCTCAGGAACTTGTCCCAGAAAGTACCTCTGTTTCAGTGCCAGTACACTTAAGAGTTGCTGAAGGGATTTGTAGACCACATGACTGTGTTTAAATTCTTGTCCTCAAATGTAAGACTTCTGCACAAGCCCAGTAGTAACAACTTCCAAAAGTTATTTTAACAGCAAATACAGAAACAGATCTACATAGCAAAGTATGCAGGTATATTTTAAAAGTAATATAAAGATATTTCTGGTACTAGTATTCCTTTGTGTTCTGCTATGAAGTACAGTGCTCAGCCACAGTACCACCTCAACACAGGTAAGTAACTGAGCAGTCTTACAACAACTACTCTATGAAATTTCACTGTGGTTTAGCAAAATGCTATTCAGAACAGATGTTTCTGTAGTTGTAATACACTAGGAAAATTTACTGTGCTAAATGGCCCTCATATTCATCCTGGGCTTCAGAAATTGCAAAATGAACAACTGACTTGGTAAAGGTTGTTTTTTTTTCTGAGCTCTAACGTGGAGCCCTGATGTGGGGGGATGAATCCTGGCTTGCATTGCTGCCTGTGGATTACTGGAGGCAACCGGAACCTGCACGTGCTGCATTGGGTTCCTCACGCTTTGGGTTACATACTTTGAAAAAAAAACAAAAAAACAAGATTTTACAGCCTCCAGTTTAAAAGCCTCCTCCCTAACCTATACTATTTTAGCATTTAGAAGTGTACAGGGCCAGATTCCAGAAATAACAGTATACAAACCCAAAGGTTGTAAGTGCAGTGTGATACAAAGGTGCAATTAATAGCCAAGGTGCACAACCTTGGCTATTTTGTGCTAATTTCTTAATTTTGCCACTATTGTACAAAATCAAGCACAGTATGAAAACTCGACTTCTTAAAGGTCAATGATTTATTAAGAAAATCTGAAAAGCCATAGCTATCACATTTGTAAGCTAATGATAATATCCTGAATAGTAGATAATAGGGCAGAGACTAAAAGATGTTTTAAATGAAGGACATATTCTGTTTTAGGGAATTACATGGTTTTAAAAAACACTCTTTTTAACTTCGGACTAACTGTATATTTTAGTAGGAGACAAAAGATTTATATGAATATAAAATATATCAAAAACATGAGAAAGAAAATTGCACATTTGAGATTAGAAGCCAAAGAGGAATTCATTCTTTTAGTTTCAAACTGAAACAGTAATATAATTTCCACTTTCTGACCTCTAACATAACATGTTATTTTTCCTTTATATGATGAAATAATGGTTGATTTAAACATGAGTCTTGCACTATTACTTGATTGATCTATCTTAATTCAAACATACGTATACGCGGGGACAGTAAAAAGAAGGAATTGAACCACAGGTGTACCAAGAAAATGAAGAATACAATCGTTATAAATGAGAGGAAAAATGCATTGGATGAGACACCCAGCTAGTTCAGTGGAGGAGTGATGCTGCATTAAAGAGAAATTAGAATCAATGTAAATTATATCTTGTATTAAAAAGATTCTCCATGTTTCTAAATTCTACACCAAAGCATTAGCCCTTACCATGGACTTCTCAACCTTGGTGGCAATGTGCTGACCAAGTCAGCGAGGACACCAAACATAATCATAATGGGAGACTCTTCTAAAGGCTGGGAAAGTGTCATCAAGGCATAATGCAGAGAATAAATGTTTAGATACCATAACTTTTGTGACAGTGATGTTTGGGAAATCTCTGAGGAAAGCAGCAACTTTTGCAAGAAGAGAGCACAAAACAGCAAACAGCCTAACAGAGCTATACAAAATCACAGAGTAGCCCCCATTCTGCACACTCGCCTCTGGTCTGATCCTTGCCTCTGAAGAATTACATAGGGGAACTAATGAAGGCCAACTGCATCTTGGAACTGCTTAAACTGATCTTGAATTTTCAGCCTGAAAGAAGGACAGCTGAAGGGAGATATGACAAGTATCTATAAATCATGAGAACCTGGGAAAGTGCCCAGAAAACAAATGAAAGGATGACTGACTTTTCCCTGCGTGAGAACTAGGGAGGCCCAAGGAAATCAGCGGGTCCAAAATGAGCAGAAGTGTTTCCTCACACAGCGCACAGCAAAATGATGAGATTCATTGTCAGATGTTGCTATGAATGCCCATATTTTAGATGGGGTTGGAAAGCAATTAGACAAATTTGGAGAAGTACTTCATGACAGTCGTTTAAATGTAAGAGTACAAATTCTGATTCAACAATTCTGCACATTACAAAGAGCTGAAGGGGGGGAACATTTCTCCCTGCATGCCTTCCCTGCTGATATTTCATGCCTTACCATCTACTATGAGGCAGTAACAGAGGCAGAATATGAGGCTACAGTTTCCTTTGGTTTAACTACTCTCTTACTAGGTGTCTCCTTGCTCAACTTTTAAGTGTGCCTACTCCTCAGCCATCCCAGCACAGAAGTCAAGAGATCAGTCTAAGCAAGCAGTGCTTAAACTTAGCTCTCTGGGTTGGACCTAACTAAAAGCCTTCACGTAGACAGCCAGGAAGCAGCATTTAATTGTGCAAAAGCCGTCACAGCCGAATCGGTCTCGCTGCTGTGCCAGGCTGTCCCAGTGCTGCCAGCCTGCTCCTGAGCATAGGCCTCTCCAAAGCCATTGGACTTTCCTGCAGAATGGCCTGGAATCTCTAACACCACCAAAACCATCAAGTGTCCTTTGCCACTCCTAAGCTACATGACAAGGTAAACCAGATTTTGGAACTATGAAGTCAGATAAAGTTACTGTGGAGGTTAGTTCTGAAGACAGAGACCAAATCAGAAAGTCAGAAAGTCAGAAGAAATCCAAAAGGGGAAAATGAGGAGGACAAAATGGCTATATTTTTTCTTAACCTGATCTCACCTAATTCAAGAAGCAGCAAGACCTTTCCTATATTGAAGTGTTTGATGATAAAGCACAAGATTCTCTATGTCCCCTCCTTCCCCGCGGTGCCTGTCAACATGCCCCAGGAACAGAGAGGAGGGGGCTGCTGGCTGGGTCCAGGCCGTGGCTCCCTTGGGTCCTGGTACCAGCCAGGAACTACCAGCACATTTTGGAACAGGGATTATCGTTGTGATGATCCCTGGCTCCTACCCACAGCCCTCTAATGCCTCCCTAATCTCGTCAAAAAAAAATCCACAGTACATAAGAATATCATGATACTTTAGAAACATAAATATTAGGAAAAGATAAAATGGTGGTGCTGAGGAATTTAGAGATTATAGTGAGAATGAACAATCCTTGAGAAATTAGGCTATACCCAGAGCCAAAAGATATATCTTAGTATAAATGCTTCCAGCACTTGTATAGTTCAGATTCAGCCTGGAGAAGAGAAGGCTGAGAGGGGATCTGATCAGTGTATATAAGTACCTCAAGGGAGGCAGTGCAGAGGATGGTGCTGGCCTCTTTTCAGTGGTGGTCACCGTCAGAACTAGAGGAAACAGCCAGAAACTGAAGCATCAAAAGTTCCACAGGAACTTAAGGAAAAATTTCTTAACAGTGAAGGTGACAGAGCACTGGAACAGGCTGCCCAGAGAGGTTGTGGAGTCTCCTTCTCTGGAGATCTTCCAAACCCGCTCGGACGCAGTCCTGTGCCACGTGCTCTAGGTGACCCTGCATGTGCAGGGGGTTGGGCTAGATGATCTCTAGAGGTCCCTTCCAACCCTAAGCATTCTATGATTCTATGATTTATTTTTAAAGTGGAATGATACAGTATCAAGCTACAAATACACTCCAAATTCAGCTTATTCAGCACCCTCATTTAGATTGCTCTCGCTCCATATTGTTTATACAAGCTTAATTATTAGTAAAAATTACACCAGTCAGCCGCATCAAAGAAAAATATCTGATAATCACAAATTTTATCATGAATGTTAAAACTTTCCATATTCTTTCCATGGTCAGTGATTAGTGATAATACATTAAGGGAAAAGTACTCTAAAGACTAATCATTGGCTGCATATGTGAACTAGGTTTAATACTGTAACAGCTGACAAACATGTGGAAAATGACTCATTGCAGGGATAAAAAGTTTTAGGCAGGCAGCAGTTCATTTTTTTTAATTAAAATAATTATTTTATTATTTGATTCAAAGATGGTAACTACGTTTGTTAAAGTCTAGAAGCCTAACACATACCTCAGGAATCAATCTGTTCCATTTTAGCTTATAACCAAAGAATCTGAATTCTATCTAAATGACAATTAAAAATAGTGAAAAAAACAAAAGTGATTCTGGAAGCAACAAGAAAAGTGTAATTTTAACAGTACAAGGAGAATTAGATTCCCCATCCCTGGTGGCCCAGAGTCTGCAAGCCGGGGTACAACAGCCTTGAGTTTGTTTGAGTCTGAGCCTAGAACTTTAATTTGATTTTACAACCTTGAACATTCTTTGGATGCAGTGTGAAGGCTTTGAGAGAGCTCCAGAAGACAGCAGGAAAGAAAACCTGTGTTTTTGGTGTTGCTTAGAGCAGGGCCAAGCATACTGGCAGCATAGCCAGGGCAAGCAAGGGTACAATCATGGGTGTTTTCAGTCTCGCAGAGTTTCATGGCCAACGCAGCCCAGGTGAATGGGTTGCAGATACCTTCTTTAAATGATTGGGCATTGTGTGCAACATGTTGTGTGCAGACCTTTTAGGTAGGTAGTATTCCTAACAGTGGGCTCCATACACCTCATAACTCTGCCAGGACCTCCAGGACCAACAGTGCAGATGCCCAAGACAACCGAGCGCTCGCCTCGCGGCGCTGTTAGATGCACCTTGCCATGGGAGCAGACAGGATGATTGGGCTTGTAGAATACATAGCTAGATACATGTAGAATCCAATCAAACAGCATTTCCTTATGAAAGTGTTTTATTTTAACCTTGGTGGTCACTTGTATACTTCATTTACAGTCGTGAAAGCACTACACACTTTGCACTATGAGCAAAATGAAGAATACGTTCAAAGTGCAAAAGCTGCCTCTCTCAAAATTCTTACAACTAACTTACAAAATTCCCAAAGAGGATATAGTACATAGACGTTGTTAAAATATAATTAGTGATGTATTTTAACAAAACTCAAGACAATTACCACCTCCTTAAGGAAGCCTTGCAAACTTCTTTTCACCCACTCACCCTGAGTGAGTAATTTATTTTGACGGGTGACTATACTATAATTAGGGTTTTTTTACTCATTACTGTAAAGTTGGGTGAGTAGATTTTGTTCTTGGGTTCATACATTTTCATGATGGTTTTGCAATACTGTTTGATGGATCAAAGTTGCAGAATTCTTAGTGCTGGTGCTAAAGTAAGTGGCATTCAAAAATGAAGGCTTGTAAAGCCTTAACATTTTGAAAACTTGTTGGTATTCAATTCTCTCGCACTATTTGTCATATTAAAGTGGCAAAGTAGCCAGGAAAAACAGTAATTCAGATATTTCAGAATTTAAGAAAAAAAAACTATTAAATATAGAACTGTGATTATATTTTTCAACAGCAGTCCTAACTTCTATTTTATTCTGTGGAACATTAAAAACGATATTTAAACTTCTAGTAAAAACTCTACCATTACTTATACTTAATCTACTTTTATCAGGAGGCTGAAGATCTCAGATAAGTCTTTTTATTTTCTTCTTTTTTTTTTTTATTATTAACTAAGCCTTTGGATCAGTTTGCTTAGCTCTCTGAGTCTCACAGCTATATTAATGTCTGAATTAAAAATACAAATTAAAATTTATTTACTTTGGGAGTGCTGTCAGAATGAGTTATACATGATGTAAAGAACAAACTCTGTACTAGCTGGAGGTAGAGAGCCCTAGGGCTAGTTTCTATAAAACCTGCTTTCCAACCTCTCTATTTTCTGACTAACTGATACATATTTGGCTTGAGCTATGGCTAAATCTGTGCAAAATGAATATTTTTCAAAGATCCTAGGGTTCTGTCAGAACAGAGTGGGTGAGAGGTATGGAAATGGTGCTGCTTGGAGTAACTTGTGCATTCCCTACAAACACTTGATCATTTTCTGGCTGGGCTGGCGAGCGGCTTCCCAGAGGAGGGAGATTCTGCATGACTCAATTGCCATCTCTTCCCCAGGCAGAATTTTCATGGAGGTTGGTCTCTGCAACTTCTGCTAACAGACACTAGGCAGATATGCTAACTTCTGTGTTAATGACATTTTAATAACTGGCTTCAGGATTGTCTATTCATCTACATTAAAATTAAATCACTAATTATAGCTACGGATTTTTGCCCAAGAGTGTTCTGGCCCCCAGTGAATGCGCTGGCATGGGAAGGTTTTAGATGCATAAGGAGAGGAAGGGAGACAGCAGGGCAACATGACAGCCCGGCTTCTGCTTCTCTCTTGCGGCAGGACCCCAGCTGCCCCTCATACGGATCTTCCTTGCCAGACAAACTGTCCAACTGTCAATGCAAACACTCATAAATATGAATATGCTTCAATTTAATAAGTTTATTCAATATTTATTCAACTAAATACATACTTTCCCAGGACAATGTTAATAATACATTAATATTTCCCAAGAAAAAATATTAATAACAAATCAATTCTATACTGATAGACAGCATCAGATCTGCACAGGAAAAAGTAATACATTAAAAAAAAGGGCAACTTAATGGAGCTACTTCTTGACTTTATGAGTCTCTATTGCTGGGTTACCAGATACAGAAACATAAAAACATTTCTGATTTTCAGATTTTTTGAAGAATCTGAAATTAAGGCACTCAAAGTTAATACTTTTAAAAAAAAATCCTCACAGTTATCTTTGTCTCTGTTCTTTTACCTCCATTTTATATATCTCCTTTTTGTTTTAACTGAAATATTAATTTCTCTCTCTTTCTTCTTCTTTTTTTAAATTGCTTGGGTGTTTTTACCTACGCATATTCCCCTGTTCTCCAGTCATTGCAATTAGGAGTATCTCATCTACAGATTTAGGCACATACAGGACACGAATCTGTAAAATAATGTGCAAAAGTCTGTCAAAGTGAAGATTCGTGTATGTGAAAGCAAGGAAGTAGAAAGAACAATTTCAGTTTTGTAGAACCAGATACTGCCTACACTGTTTTCAAGACATTCCTTGAATTCCTAGCAAGACCAAACCCTGTGAATAGAAACGACTCTCCTGAGCGCTAAATTTTTCACAGTTTGTAAAGAACAGCTCTCCCATCAGACCCATGAATCCCTTGGGTTGGAGATGTAAATACATTGCAGATGAAGTAACTATAAGTCATCCTGGGTTAAATTCAGGTGGAGTTGGCAATGGAGAAGGACCATGCCTACTTTAAGGTTCTTCAAAGATTAAGATCCTCACCTTATTTCTCCCAAATATTCTCCAAGTTTGTGTTTCCCTCTGAGAAACAGAACAAATCCATTTCAGATAAGGGCTTCGAACAGAGATATCCATGTATCGGATACCGCTCTGTGCTGCATGTCACCACAGACCTCAGAACTGTGAGCAAGTATCAAGTGACCTTTAACTTGCACGTTTTGATCTTACGCCGGGCACAGCACTGCATATGTGAAAACTCTAGATGAATCTCTTTAAAAGGTACTTTCACTTATTTAAGTAAAATCATAGACTGAGGGAAAGGAATTAATAATTAATGTGAAAAAGCATTTGGACTTTACTAGCAAGAGGCATAAATGCAGGGCATTGGAACAAGACTGCGACAATTCAGCTTAATAAATATATTAGTAACTGTTTTACTGTATTTTGTACATTTTAAATGAATACTTTTGACCTGGTCTTCTAAAAAGCAATGCTACAGCAAAGCTGATTTGAAATCTCTACTTTCCCACAAGAAAAAGATGTCATTTAGTTCCTGAAGAGTTCACTCCTTGCTCTGAAATATTTCCTGCAGTTTTGCAGAGATGCCAAGACACTTCATCCAACAGCACATACATCTTTTTCATAATATCCTAGCTGCTGTTATCTGGATTCAACCCCTGCAGGACTACGACTCATCGTGTCTGATCCCTAAATGATGGGAAGGGCTGGGTTGTAACTCATTTTACTGTAGCTGCTTAGCATCTAGGTGTCAAACCTGAAGGAACCACGTTGCTCCACTCATGTCTGGCGTAATGATCTTAGCGGGATGAATTGCCCTCTGTGTACAATATTTTTGGTTGCTGATCTTACAAGAATCCATTCATATCAGACATCTTTTGGATGGCTAATGACAAGTCATTAATTCAGATCATTAATAACCAAGCTACCAATATACATAATTATGTCATTGCTTTTGCCATCATTCAAAGATTTAGGCTTAACAAATCCTGAGACTGCCCACATCCTTAAAATTCTGATTTTGTAGACCTTACAGGCTCCTCCTATT